GGAATTTGAGGCTGCCAGGTAAGTTAAAGCTGCATACTGAACTTCCAAATGACTGACTTCTCAGACATTAGGAAGAATTTCTTTTCAGAAAGGATCAATAGACACTGAAATTGGACTGCCCAAGGAGGTGGTGGAGTCGCCATCCCTGGAGGTGTTTAAGGAAACACTGGATGTGGCACTCGATGCCACAGTCCAGTTGACATGTTGGTGTTAGGGCCTAGCTTGAACTCAATGATCTCAGAGTCTTCTCCAACCTTAATGATTCTATGGTTCTTCATTTGTGAAGCAGGGATGGGAGGGAATTAAAGCAGATAAAAGGAGGGGAAGGAAGGGAGGAGCAATTTAACTACAGGATGTTTTAACTACATCATTAACCACTGATTTCCCTGCCATGGTCATCCCACAAAACCTCTCTATTTGCAGACTGTACACTGGTACATAAGCACAGGAGCACGGTGAACAGCCACCAAGTGTTGGCTCTCATTTGAACTCAGGAGCTGAGCTACACTTAGCATATAACACTTACCATCCTCATAGACCAGCTTTGCAGTCTGATTAACCTCAGGTACGTCCTGAGCTGCTGCCGATGCTGCAACCTGAATGGAGTTTGGAGATTAGCCTTAGATGAAATCATATATTCCAACCTTAAAAGGCAACAAAACTCATAACAACGTAAAACAAGCCTACATCAAGAGTAATACACATTAATTCATTTATAACAGTAGTTTAACAGCCAAACAAATGACAAAGTAAACTTCGAGAGGCATCTGCTCCAAACTGGCCCAGTGCCTCTTAATTATTCTCCTTTAAAACTCTATGGGTTAGTGGACACATTTGGCAGGACAAAACATGTAACACTTCCAGTGACCACAGACCAACAAAACAGTCATTTAGGTGTACTGCTTTGAGCATCATCAGCACAGCTTACAGCATTAAGTATTAAGCTCCCAAGGATAGGTCCCATCGGATATTATCACAACAGGAGGTGAAGTTTGCAAACAACACTTCTGCACATCCCATGTTACTCAGTTGAAACTCACCTGGGTGACAAGAATGAAGAGTCTTCCATGCAGGCGTGAAAGCTTTTGCAAAGTTTTTACTCTACTTTCCATTAACTGGTATAACATTCCCAGCTGAGGAATAAGGTCTGGCAACTTGGGAGAAGAGATGGATGAAAAAGAAGAAGCTGTTAACCAACACATCCCAAATGTCTTCTTTTTTTTTTTTTTTTTTTTAACTACCTTTATGTGTTTGGGGCAAGCAGTCCTTGCTTACATTATTCTAGACAGAAGTGAGAACTGACAGCTCACAGGAACCACCTGCTGCCCAATCAACTAACACTTAACTATGTTCAGAAACATCAGCTACTTTCAAAACATGACAATTCTTCTACTGCTTTTCCTTTGCATGGTCACTGCCATACACAGGGATCACAGCACTATTCAGAAAGGTATGTAAATGGGAACTGAACATACACCAGTGCATGAATTCAGCCTCAGCAATGTGTGCAAGTTCAGACACTCAGCAAACTTACAATAAACATAAGAAAGGACTAAGTGCCAAAATGTCTTTTTATTAACCCAGCAAGAGTGCTGTATCCATCACTTGTAAGGCAAAGCTGGACCTCAATCCAGCAGCTACAACATTACTTATTACCCTGCCAACTTTGGCACACCTTTACCCTATAAATTCAGTCATGCCCAAGACAGTCTCAAGATGAGCATTACAAGGGCAAAGAAAACTTAGTTCTGAAAGATTTAGTGACACAGGCTGAACTACTCTTTGACACTAATTTTGTTCCCTCTCACAGGTGTCACATAACTTATCTTGGTTTGACTTTGGGACAGCTACAATTATGTCATTAAAGACTAACACAATCAGCAACCACAAATTTATCAGCAATGTGTTTGGTAGTTGTTTTATCAGTTTGGCAAAAGTGGCAGAAGCATGGCACTCTGTACACTGATTTGGTCACCATCATACATGGAAAGCAGAAGACAGATTCCTGGAGGAAGACAATATATTTATTTCAAGAATTTAAATCTACTTTTAGTTAAGTGCATTGGCATTAATGCAAAATACTTACTGTGGAAAGGTAGGATGCATGTAGAGTGAAAATAGATTTCAACCATCGAACCATTAGTGAGGCACTGGAAAAGAAAAATAAATTATATCAAAGAGATACTGGCTGAGACACACATCTCACATTCTAGATGCTAAATGGTTCTATATAAAGTGTTCCTCTTTCTTTCATTAGAAAGACAAATGCAGATGGAAACATTAACAGTTTGGCTATCCAGATGAGGTATGTAAGTTATTTGCTAGGAAGAGAACAGACATTTCAGTGAGGGACTCAACTAGACCAACCCAACCCAAGCCCCACAACTAGCTACAGCTGACCTCAGCAAAGCTGTCCTTATGGCAACATAACAAGATGGGGGGAGCAGTTTTTGTTATTAAACACACCACCAGGAGATGTCTAAATACATTTTATAATTAAACTGAACAAGCTATACATCTGATAGTTATTTTATTTTACATATTGATCAGGTCTATAGTGTAAACATTTGGGGACTTCAGCTGCATTCTCAGGGCTACATGCTTATTTCAGGCAGCCTTTTCCCTATTTGATTTCAGTTCAGCCATCCTGACAAAGCACTGCCTTAAGTGCTTTTTTTGCACTCACAATCAGCTGAAAATTTTTCCCTCCACATGCTGCAGTTTAATTACAGTTACTATGGAAATCAACCACATAGGTGGCAGACGGGACAACATATACACATGCAAAAAGATTCAGGTGAATTAAACAGAAGTTGAGTGTCTCTTACCTGTACGGGTTGCCCTGCAATCTCTTTGTAAGCTAAAAGGACAAAAAAAAAAAAATTAATAATCAGTCAATAGTCAGCAATGAGTAACAAACACTGTGAATTTAAAAACAACACTGCATCCTTGTGACAGCCCCAATGTTGAGGCAGAAAGTTCTCTAGGCATTTGAACTTTGCTAGGATTAACCACTGCCAGAGTCCATAAAATTACACTGCTGGCTCTGCCGTCCTATGCATAGGCTGCTAACCTGCAGAAGCTTAGTTTTATTATTACAAGATAACTGTAACTCTTAGAAGGCAATATGAAATATAAAGCTGGCAGGAATAAGCGGAAGGAAATGCCTTTTTTCATGTGTCTCTGTGTATCTGCTTAGTAAGCAGCTGTAATAAGGTACCCAAGTTGGAGAGACAAGTGAAGGTGGTATCAGGTAAAGGCTATTCCACAGAACAAATTTCAAGCTCTGGAGAAGACAGTTACACAAAGATCTGTCCACCCACTGTGATTATATATAGTCAAACACTTGCACTTAGCTTCCCTGACAAGGCTCCCAGGGAAGTAACACTGCATCTCATTAACATAAGCCTGAGGAGGTGCTGCAATACTACACAGCACCAGGATATCTGCATGATGCAGTTAAGGTCAGTACAAGCAAAAATTAAATCTTATTTGAGGCCAGCACATTAAAATACAAGAAAAACCTAACTATTAACTTACATTATAGAATGCCGTTCACATAACAAGCAACAAATCAATGTTCAGTTTAAAAAAGTAATGATAATTAAGGCTAATCATTAAAATATTTCTGTCCAAATACAGATTTTACTTAGTATCACTGAATAAGTACTTCAGAAGCCAAATCCCTATTAAAATTACTACTAAGTGATGTTGCAAAGCTTAAATATAGCAACTGGGCTCCAGGCTATCATTTTCCAAGTGTTATCTAAACTCACTGCTTTCAGCATGCATTCTATTTTTCTTTCTCACATGTGAGTATCTAGCATATTTATGTTGATACAGCTTACTCTGGCTAGCACTGCTGTTTTCATGCTTCAAATTATTGTCCATTTTAACAGCTGAAAAGATGCAATGGTAATTGCTTGCCATGGACTAAACAAGTTTTTGCTTGACTTCTTTTCTTTTTCCCCATATAATCATTTAAGGCACTATTACATGACCTAATGATCTTCCTAGCTTTGACAGTGCTACTTTGTCCTTTGGTTAAGCTTCAGCCAGAGAAGACAAACAGTGTATCAGAGATAAATTTAAGGAACATTTCTGTCCAGTTGAAGTACCAAACCAATTTCATTTGTAAACATAACGAGACATATCCTAGATTTTCCCCAGCTAGAATGCTAACCACACATAGTTTGTATGACAGTACAAGGACAGTCTCTCCTACCTCATGCAGCAGTGGAATGACAGCATGTATAGGCATTCTGGCTACTGTGTTCTTTACTACATTGTCCCTTCTTGTGTTAAGCACTTTCTGTTAAAATGAAAAAAATATCATCAGAGTATATTCAGTTTTAACATGTGTATGAGCAACTAGCAAAATTTTAAAATTCCTGGCTTTAAATCTCTTTTTCTACTCCACTACCTATGTATGCCAAGAAAAGGATAACAAGTAAAAGATTTACTATGAAAAGGAGTTCCATTTTCCAAGTCAGGTACCATTAACAAAGCAAGACACTTGATTAATCCATTTAACACAACCTATCACTGCCTCTAGCCCACCCACCCCATATCAGAAATTAAGCACCACAGGCATGTTAAAACTTCCCTTGCCATTTTTGTTTGACTTGTGTAAATAAATGCCTTTCACCAGCATCTGAGACAAGAAATTTCTATTAATCAAATTTCTAACACTTCCGTGCCCCAGAATTAATATTTCCTCCCAGTCCAAGCACAAAGTTAAGCTTTTTCAAGTGAACTGTTGTCATCAATGCATTTTTTCCAACAATATCTGCTTGGAAACCATACACTCGGGAGACTAAGCACAGATTATGCTCCAGCTCAAGCTAAAGGGAAGATGGCTGCATTGACACACCACTTGCAAAACATCTGCACTGTGACATGACAAATTTATCATAAACAAGGTGCCTCCAAGTTCATGGACTGACTCAGGAGGCAAGGCAGATCACAACAAAAAGGTAACATTGCTACTCTCATTCACTGCCTTGAGCAGCAAACCAGCAAAAAGCAGCTGGGAGAAACAACAGGATGTTAACTGTTCAGCCCTCCTGGCATTCAGGAAGGCTCCCAACAAGTCCCAGATACAACAGCATACAACGATCTTGCAACACTTACATTTAAGATCTCTGCATCATTGCTTTCCAAGCCCTGAACCAGAAGCACAGCAAAGCTATCTGTTTGTGGAAGGCCACCTGGAGTTTTTACTTTGCTCACATCAATATCCAGTGCCCCCAGGCGCTCTTCAATGCTCTCCTGCAGACAGGAAACAAGGGCAGTGCTGTTACAGTGCAGCTTCTCAGAAATACCATCTGAAAGCAAAGTATCTAACCTACAGCATTCCTTCTGATTCTGCTGGAAAATGACACAAATTTTGCATACTTTTTTCAATGCCCTGATGGAGAACAGCATGAGAAAAGAGAAGATGAAGTTTTGGCTGAAAGGTACAAAGAGAGAGACAGACACAAGCGTGTGACAAGAGTTCTGCAGCAATCTGGCAAAACTATGGGCAAGGCACCCAGGAATGGAATGAAGGAAATTTTCTCAGCAGAGGAAAGACTCTTTCATACAAAAAGATGGTATCATTAACCTTGCTCCCACACCAATCAAAGCAAGTCCAAGGACACTTGAAGAAAGTATAGTGATGATTTATGATTCCAGTTTCTCCATCATTGCTGTGTTTTAAAAAGGGGAAGACCCTTACCTCTGTCTCTCCTGGTTTCCTCTTGTTTTTCTTCTTCTCCTTTCCCAAGGCTGGAGTTTTGACAGCTGTACTATGTCCTGGAATGCCAGGCACTAGAACTTTGGTGTCCGAGTTCACAACAGGTGTCTTTACCTAGTACAGAGATAACCATGTGTGTGAATTACCAATACCCTGAACTTTCTTCCAGTTTAAAATACTGATTATACTCTGAGACTCTCACATACATGACAAAACCAGCCTGACATAACCTGGTTTTCTAACATATATATTAGGAAAATCCTACATTTTTAATAACAATGAACTAGCTGAAGTAACAGTCAGCTAATTTTCATCATTTACTAATGCAATGGTCTCTTCGGAATCACCTGTGAATCACTTTCTTACAAGCTTGTACTGAATTAAGTGTTTGGATCCAACAACAAATATCTGGATGTTTGCTAGCAAATAGATACCACATGTACTAACAGTCAGGCCAGGCATGTAGATTGATTCAGCTTCCACTGGAAGGCAAGATGATCTGACCAGGAAAAGCAGCACAATCCTACAGCAGAAGATAGTTACTATTTGCTTCAATCCCAAATCCACTTTTCCTCTAGGAATTGCTCAGTCACAGGACACAGTTGTCTGAATTAGACTATGATTGGTGACAGGGCAATCTTAGGTTATACCAAACAAGCTACAGTATCATCTTCAGTGAACACAAAGGAGATGGAATTTAAAAGGCAATGTATTTAATAACCAAGTGCTTCCCGGACCCACAGAGGATGTAAGGAAGTATGCCACTTACAGAGTATCAAGAATGCTACCTGCTACTTCCAGAACACTTCTTCAACCACAGCACTTCTGTCCAGGCTTTTTTTTTTTAACTACCTGCCTAAACTTCTGTACTTGTGGAACCCCTGCTGGTCTCCATTGAAGTGACACAAATATAATCTACTACAATGAGGAAAGCAACTTCCATATGCTGTGTGTAAAGGTAAAAAAAAAAAAAAAAAAGAAGATAGATTTTCTGACTCAAGAACTTTACTGTAAAACAGCAACGATGTTAAAATACTACCCTTTTGCTCACCACACTCATCACTGACCTTCTCCCAACACAGCATGCTCAGACAGCCAAGAGAAATGTGTCTTCACTGGAATTCGGCAAAAAGCGAAACCAAGATGGATATCATCACTGCATGCTAGGGTGTTCCTGCACCTCTCACTGCATTTCAGCTCTGCTACCCACCACCAGCTCCAAGACTGAGAAATCAGCACAAAACTCTCGCTAGCTGATGGAGCACCAGATCCAGCAGGTTAACCTTAGGGTCAGAAAAACAGCTCTGTCTGCTCACTTCACTGATATATCAAGCCTTTCAAATCTTCAGGGCACTGAATGGTCACAATGATTAAGAACTTCACAGCCTATTTCTAAACACCCAAGGGATCCTACATGAGAGAAAACAGTGGCAAGTGGCCTCAGTGGACACTGTTGCCATCTAAGTGCCAAGCTCACATTCCCAGGTCCCTGTGAGAAGGAACATGTGAAGGCCACCTCTTGAAAGAGTCAAAAGGACATGCCCTTCAAGGTTCCTTTTTATTTATTCTCTACAATAAAGCCATCCCACCTTCACCCCAAACCATCAGGGTCCAAGAGGCTGTACAAACCAACAGACTCTAAGGAAAGGACTGATATCAAGCAGAAAACTCCTAGCAATCAGCCCCATCTCTCAAGCAGACCTGCTGAGAACAGGAATTGCTATGAGCTACAGGAGAGTATCCATGTGGTCTGACACACAACACAGCAGTCACAAAGCACTCTGCACCCACACCTGCCTGAGTGCTATGGACGTCTGTAGCTACCACTGCAGCTCTGAACAGGTCCATCCAAAAATCCAAACTCATTTTAAAACAGCACTGGATTCTACCACTTCCAAAGTAAAACACAAGAAGTGACAAAATCACATTTCATGCCAAGCTCACCTTTGTCAGAGCAGCATCTGTTTTAAGTGACAACACTTTCTGGATGTCCCTTACCAAACATATGTGGGATTCACTGGAGTTCAAAGACTAGAAGGACAGGAACAAAACCAATTAATATATTTGACATTTCCTGCAAGTCATTGTAATACTGAAAGATGAGAACAAATTCCAGAGGTATAAACTAGAATGAACTTTTTTTCACTCTAATACAGCAGCTCCTTTGCATATCTGCCTTTTGTTAACAGATCTCTGTGCTCTTCAAAGAAGTTCACACATGCAAACTTAAACAGTATTAAAACCAGTTTCAATGGCCTAACTCAGTAACAGCTGAAACGATGAGAAACAGCCAGCAATGATGGAAAGGTGTACTCCAGTTGAAAGAATGGAAGATACAACCAACCATTCAGAACAGCTCTGGGGCAACAGTCACAGCTCCCAAAGAAGGGAGAAGGAATAGGCTTTGTCTTGTTATGCAATTTTAAAAAAGTAAAAATAAAAGCTAAAAAAATAAAATCATAGCAATTTCACCAAGAGCAGTATGCAGTGGATATTGCAGAATCCAAACCCTCTCCAGTAAGTTTTACATACCACTTTCTCTATGATGGGCTGTAAGGTGTTTCCATACACCAGCAGCAGAGACTGTTTGTCCGTGCAAAACGCAGCTGCTAGAATAGGGACTGGTTTGGGTGTGGAGTCCCCATCATTCCCAGGCGTTGCTATCTGGATAGTACAGTTTGACGTTAAAGGTTTTTTGCAATAACTGGGGGGGGGAAAAGAAAAGAAATTAAAACATTCCAAGAGACTTAGCTTAAACACTTCAGTATCTTGCACATCTAAGCACCTTTCAATAGCAGGTCCTAGGCAAGCTCAGCCATTTCACACCTTTTACAGGTGGCTAAGATGACACGTGGACACAAAATCTGGGCTAAAGCCACACTTAATACTGACATGCAGCACAGCCCCCAACAGGTAAGTTCTCTAAAAATGTGTCCATCAGCCCAAGACACAGAACCAGCTGGAACCTGGTTTGCAAGCAGATACAAGAGCTTATAGGCAGTAGCTTAACAAAACTGAACTTTGCCTTACAGTAATCCCAGACCATTCCCAAAAACACCCTCAAGATGAATACTAACTTACCCATTTAAGATATGTTCAAATAAATGCAACTGCCCATCTCTGCACACAACTGCTAACTTCACAGGCTGAAAGAAGGCACAGCAGGAGAATTTAATTAGATTAAAGAACAAACCTCCTGTAAGTACAGGACATCAAGAGACAGTTGCATGGCTATGATTCGACTCTTTTCAGTACATAAACACATCAAACTAAATCTGTAAAGAAGATCAAAGGCATAACAACTTGGGAACACTTAGTAGAACTATGTAGAGACAAAAAGATAACTCATAACTGTACTTCAGTGTATTACTACTAATATATGCCAATTTGAACAGTTTGTACAGTGGCAGACACATGTCTAAAGGCACAGGTCTACAAAGATGCTGACACTATAAATATGCTTAGAGGAAAAAACCTGATGACTCCTCTGAGCAATTAAATGATGGAGGGACATTACAGAATATTCTCCTACACATGCAGTAAGAAGGAACAAACGGACATATCAGAAAAATATAGCATGAAATACTGTTTTGAGAAAAGGAATCTGAAGGCAGCAGCAGAAAAATATTTTGAATAATTACTGAAAGTTTGTGAACATGTTTCATATGCACGCATTTTTCATAAGGTGACTGCTTCAAAAATCTTCTACCTGCTAAAATTGAGATATGGGGAATGCACACTGCTGCTTTTAACTCATTAAATGCAGTTAAGACTTCTTGAACTTTCTTCAAGAACCACTTGAAATCAGAAAAAAAAAACCAAACCAGGATTCACACCCAAACCAGATTTTTTGAAGTAATTCTTTTGTGTTTTTGCTGCCGAGTTCTAACAACCATTTTGACTACTAATTTGTTCTAAATAGGAAACTGACATTTGCACCATCAAACCAAAATTTTGAGGGTGGGGGAAAGCCCACTGAATTTGCACTTAGTAGCTTTGAAAAGGAGTATTTCAAACTATCAGCTTTAGAAATGCACCTGTAATAAATATCCTTACACCCATGACTTCAGATCTAATCTCTGCACAACAGAACCCAAATACAAACCAAGCTTCTTTCTTCACACCCTTAAAAAGGAAACCCATGTGACAAGTGAAAGTTGTTGAACATGTCTGGTTACAAACTATCACTCCTACCTCTTCTTTGACTTCTGATACAGTCAGGTCAACAAAAGTTGGTTCATCTGTTACTGAGAAAGACAGCACAGCATTCTTTTCTTTCCTATCTGATCTGATCTGCCTGCAAGACATGAACAGTACACATTATTTACCATAGCACAAACAGCACCCTCTGCACCTGACATGCATTATAACACCTATAAATGACCAGTGACTGTGGTAGTATCCACCCCATCCAAAAATATGATGCTGACATTTCAAGTTTTCAGCTTAGATATTCTAACTTGCAAGTGCAAAGTAACTCCCAAGTGAAATTGAGCAAGAAAACTTCACATAAAACTTAGAGCAAGTGCAAAGAACAAGCAAGTTTATTACACAGTATGTTCTGGCATAGACTAGCAATACAAATGGCAACTGGAAACATGCTCAGACACAGCCAAGGAAAATCGTGTCTTCACTCAACAATCAGTGCATCAAAACCACCATTTAAGAGATCATCTCTGCATTTTCCCCAGAGTGTCCTTTCGGCTTCACCTTCTGTTTAATCACAGAGTTCAGAACATACTTGATGCGTCCACACTCGATGCTGAACACAACCTGTCACAAATTATGAAGAGCTTACTTACCATACACTCAATAATCGATCGTGTATTGCTCCAGACAAGAAATAAAGTCCTGTAATTCCATCAAAGGGTTTACTTTCATTCATAGGTTTCACTGTGGTAAACATTAATGATGACACTGACGTAGCATGGCCTGTGAAATGCTAAGACAAAAACAAAAACAAGGATCTGACATATGGCAAAATTCAAAACATTACTTAAAGAACATTAAGAAAGATTCAAGCGTTACTAAGTCAACAAGGACAATTGTGGGTCTGTAACTTTAAGATCAACTTTCTTGCATTTCCATATGTCAAGGAAGCTTTTTCCGACCCTACAGATATTTATCAGCACTTTACACGTTAAGTGGGGAATCAAAGGCAAATTCACTGGGACTAAATCCATGCAAAAGAAATCACATTCACCTGTACTTCTGCTACTGTCACAAAGCACTTCCATCCCCATCTTAAACTTCAGCTTTTACAATGGAATCAGTTTCAGTTTCAACTTCCAGCAGACCACCCAGGACTGCTGGCACACTAGGTCTGTTCAACACACCACCCCCAGGCCCCTCAAAAAATTGGTCCTTCAATCTACTCTTGTAAATAGTGGTTTTGGTCACCACGGGACGCAGACACACGTGGCAGTTGCTATGTGCCAGCAAACCCACAAGAACAGCACATGTGTACACACTTACCTGACAGCAAGTACCAGGAGACTCAGAGACTAGCTGTGTCCTATCTGCTAGCAGCCAATAGAGCATGGAGGCACTCATGGATCAGCTAGAGCATGGGCATGTGCCATGAGCCCTGTGCAGGGAACAACAAGGGGTTCGCTCCTATGCCTCCCAACTGTTTCAACAGCAGAACTGATAATGCCACCAGTTATGTGAAGTTTAGCAAGGAAACCTGAAGGCTTCATGGAAGGACTTGTGTTAAAAGTCAGGGAGCTCACACAAAAAACCCCTGGCAGCAGTAACTGATACAGTGGTTAACAGAATTCTCCTTCTAGAAGGGTATTAGAAGGAGACTTAGAGAAAAAGAAAGGCATCCATCTTTCTCCTACAGGCTTGAGAGAGTGCTGGTAGCATGCTCAGACACAGCCAAGGAATTTCATGTCCTCATTCACTCTCAGCAAGTTGAAACCACAGTTGAGTGTATCATCACAGCAAAAGCCTCCAGCAACTCCAAAACTGTTAATTGTCTCCTCACACACACTGAAATTTTTAGTTGTCCAATCAAGATCCATAATGTCACCAATGAAGAAGGGTATTTTTTTTTACATCTCGTTTAACAGAGGTACTTACTCTGTAGACTTCTTTGGTCTCCAAGTCCCACAGTTTTATAGTTCTACCAGCTGAAAGCAGCATTTTTCCATCTGGACTGATGCATAGAGACATGACACTGCTACTGTCGCCTTTCCACTTGCTAGATATTGGATAGAGAGTTTTTGAACAAAGGGAGAAAGATGCAGAAATAGAAAAAACAATATTCATTAAGGTAATCTCAAAATGCACAACCACCATGATGGAAAATTTAAGGAAAATTTAGAAACCGGTAATTTAAGTAGTCAAAGTTCAAAGCTATTCTGCTTCTGAGCCTCTCCTTCAAATTAGTTTACAAAAAACCCACAGCAACTCAAAAATATAAAACTACTTAATACTGAACTGTAGACCTTTTCTTTAATATTTGCCTATTCTGTTCTAAATTCCTCTCTCAAAGTTCTCTACTGCTTAAAATAGGGCAAGAATAGCCATACCAGTGCCTGACTTCTCTATGCACCGTAATCCAAAAAGCTTACACCAACCCATTCAGAAAGGACTCCCTGACACTGAAATTCAGAGTTTCCAAGACCATTCAGTTCCTGGCACTCCTCCCCAGTCTGTCAGTGCCACTGACAATAACAAACTTCACCCTAATGTTCTACAGTTCAAAGCACTATTTAAAAACACCAGAAAAAGTGGGGGGGAATATAAAGATGCTATCATGAACAGCTTGCACCTGCTTTGAAGGAATATGAATACTACATGTTTCTTGCAGGACAAAATTGCAAGGAAAGCATTAACACAAACCCATTACAGTTAGGAAGCAGTCTGCAACACACCATATTCTGACTATAAACAGCTGTTCTGGAAATACTTCCAAAAGCCTTTCACATGCCCAAGCAGTATCTCTCCTGTCTTCCAAAACTTAGATCATTTACTCTATCACTTCTGAAAGTTTTACAGCCTACAAACTTGACAAACAACACTGCAACTTACAGAAAGTCTGACAAGATTTTGTATGATCTTCCAAAAAAAAAAAAACCCAAAAAAATTCAGACTAAGAATTTCAAACCATTTAATGATGTAAACTAAGAAGATATTTTTAAATGTACTAAAAAGACAAGTCTAAACTATACTGCAGAATATAAGACAGAGCAAAAATGCACTGGTTTTCACTTTACTTTGTATAATTTTTACAAGAAAGAACTTTAAACAGGATTTCATAAAAAAAGAAGCTGCATAAAGAGATGTCCAGAATGCCACTGATAGAGTACTTAAGACATCAAAATGCTAGAGAGAAACACGAAGTTATCCTGAATGTTTTAGACTACCTGTCTACAACACCTTGCCTTGACTTTTCAGAAACTCTCTCTTTCCCAACAGCATGTCGCTCTGCCAGAGATTCCATGTGTGCTGCACTGACCTCCTGAAGTGGCCCTAAGGAGTACTTCTACAGTAAAGTCAAGCCTAAAGCCATATGGTTTCAACTCCCTGTCTAGCAATCCATACTTCTATAGGAACATGTCTAGAAGGCTGCAAATAAAAGTTCACAGATTCACAGTATACTCTGAGCTGGAAGGGACCCATGAGGATCACTGAGTTGAACTCTTGGCTTCACACAGGACATCCCGAAGAATCACACCATATGCCTGAGAGTATGGTCCAAGCATTTCTTGAACTCTGTCAGGTTTGGTGCTGTGACCACTTCCCCAGGGAGCCTGTTCCAGTACCCAAACACCACCTGAGTGAAGAACCTTTTTCTAATATCCAACCTAAACTGCCCCTGACACAATTTCAGATAAAAAGCATCATGTTATATTGCTCATGTATTCTTATACTATGCACTCCAGGAATTAATTTCTGTTGCCATCTTTAAAATGAAAGAACATGATGCCTCCAATTACATTTCATAAACACAGTCCCCTCTTCCACCCACGGTCCCTGGTACGGGACAGGGACAGAGGGGAACACTCAAGAAGCATGACAGCAAAAATTCTCATGTTTCCAGAGAAAGCAGCATGTATTGGACCTATCCTAAGTACCTGTACATGAACACAGAGGCTGTGGGATACAAACAGGGTGAATTAGGTGTCCACGAGCAACTTTAGAGCTTTGATCTCACTGGGATCATAGAAGAGCAGTGGGATACCTTGCAAGAGTGTTGCAATAAAAGGATCTTTAGGAAGGCACTTCAGCAAGGACATGCCAGGAAGGCAAAAAGGAGAGGGGTGACTCCACATAAAAGGGTGGCATGAATGCATGGAGCTTTCCCCTGAAACAGGTGAAGGGCCACTGCAGAACTTATAGGTACAAGAGACCAACAAGGGTGATGTGGTCCACATGTGTTACAGACTGTCTGATTAAACAAGAAATTGATAAATCTTCATAATCCTATGCCCTGGTTCTTTTAAAGGGACTTTAACCCCCCCAGCACCTGCTGGATGGGCAGCACAGGAGTCACATGCAGTCCAAGAATGCTGGCAAGTGCTGAAGACCTATTCTTGATGTGAGTGATTTGCAGCCATCCACTGTGAAAGATGACTGACTGATCAGCCACTCAAAGTAGGGGAAAAAAGCACTAAAACTCCAGCTAAACTCTGCAATAGAGTTTAAGACCCTAAGAGAGATGAGCAATATGAACAACAGAATTACAACACTGCACTTAAAAGACCAGACTGCAACTTACACGGAGAACTGACTGGCAGGATCCCACTTGTGGCTGCCCAAAAAGAGAGAAGAGGCCCAGGAAAACTGGTTGCCCTTCTGGGATAACCTCCTCAAAGCAAAAGACCAGTCTCTTCCAACAAGCAGAAAATCACCAGCAATTACAGCAAGTTGACTTGACCAAGTGGGAAGCTCCTGACTCAACTCAAAACCAGAAAGAAACCAGAAGTATGAAGAAGATGCAAGTGGAGATGTGTTACAGAGGAATGCTGAAATATAGTCCAGGCATTCAGGATCAGAATAAACCAAAGCTTAGCTGGTGTTCAAATCCACAGGGAATATGAAGGCCAGCTAAAGGACATCCACATCCAGCACATCAGCAGCAGTAAGATGATGACTGAGGAATGTGTGCTGCTGCTCCTGAATGGCACAGGGACCCGTTCAGTGCGCACAAACAGCAAAAGCACTGAAGAGCAAAGTCTCTCAGGCCCTCCTATGTTCTCAACCTAGTGCCAGAGTCAGAAGGAGCAAAGCACTCCCCATAGTAAAGGGACACCAAATTAGGGATCACAACAGCAAATCCAACACATGTGACTCCCTAAGATTGCATGGGATGCATCCAGAACTGCTATGGCAAGTGTTATTACAAGACCACACTATCATTTTGGGTGGTCACACAGGCTCAGGATAAATTTCTGATGACTTGGGAAAAAAAAAAGAAAGGAGACAAAATATATCCACAGAAGGAGAATCCAGCAAAGAGCAGGGAAGGTTACACAACAACTCCCCCAGAAGTCCAGTCCAGGCACACAAAGGTCAAGGCACATGTGGCACTGGTCAGACACCATTTGTAAATCTATCTGATTGCCTTCTTAATGAGACAGCTGTCATGGCAGATGAGAAGTGAGCCACAAATGCCACTTAATTTGACTTTAGCAATGCTTTTGACAATGTCTCACATAGTTATCTATGCAGCCAAATGGGAGATATATAACCTGGATGGATGGACTCTAAGGAGGCTAAGATCTGGCTGCATCATTGAGTTCAAACAGTTGTGATTACTGGTATGAAGTCCAGCTGGTGGACAGTTACTGGTGTCACTCATTAAGGACATCCCAACAGTGCTTAATATCCACTGCAATTGCCCAGATCTTCATTAATGACCTGAAAATAGGACAGAGCACACACATCAGAAGTTCACATTCAACACCAAGCTAGAGAGAACAGTTGATATGCTGGAGAGGAGGGCAGGGCTGCTACACAGGGGCACCTCAACAAGTCTGAAAACTGGCTCTTACAAGCAAAAAAAAAAAGTAAAATCCTGCAGGGGGGATAGAAAACTCCCAGTACAGGTTGGGGACAAAAGTTGGCTAGAAAGTAGCTTTGCAGAAAAGAGGCCTGTGGTCCTCATAGTCAGTTGAAGATGAGCAAGCAGGAGGTCCCTGTTGCAATGAGGGCAGCTGCATGCTGATTTGCATTAGCTGCAGTGTCGCCAGCAGGTCATGGAAAATGGTTCCATTGCTCTGTGCAGCTCTTTTGAAATTGCATCTGAGCACTACACCCAGTCTGGGACAGTACAGAAAGTCAGTGGCATAGTGGAGTAAATCCAGTGGAAGGCACAAAGAGTGCTTAGGGACTACAGTACATAGTGCAAGAGGGAAAGGTGAAGAAACTGGGTATGTTCAATCCTGAGAAGAGAAGGCTAGAAGGTGATTTTACTGTCATCTTCTGCTACTTTACATCAGGGTGTCGATACAACATAAGGATGCTTCCTTTTTCTAGGGAAATCACAGATGCAACTGGTAATGCCTGCAGGGCCCACACCAACCTTAACAAAACCAAGGAGCTGCAGTAATAACACAACAGGAAATGTTACTAAAAAGAAACATCAAGAGAAGATCAATAGGCCATCACATCCTAGACTTTCATTGAAGAAAGATAACCAGGATTGTGAATAGAAATCTTGGTTTCTTCTTTAAAGTTTACGAACAGTTTGACTTTGTTACAAAAGAAAGTAAATGCCTCCACCAGACATCTTGTTACTCTACACTAAGCTCTATTTTGCTCAACGGTACTCTCACTAGTAGCAGCCTGCTCAGACAGCCAAGTGGAACTGTCCCCACTGTGCATCAGCAGTGAGCGAAACCAAGTGGGTTATCATCACAGCAAGGCCCTTCGAGCAAAGCTGAGTGCATGCACCATGTTTGACTGGGATGAGGTCTTCCATATTTCCAAGGATTTCTTCTAGAACTGAAGATTTTTTGGCATTTTGTGGGACTTTTAGTCCCACTAAAAGTTAGCATTGAAAGCGACAAACTCCTCTCAGCACAGTTTCATCTAGCCTTTCCAATATACAGAGGAAGAAAGCCAACTATGGCAATTACTCTTTCATCTCTTAATAAAACCACTTCCAATCTCAGAAAAATAAGTCAACAGTCAATTCTGTACAGTGGGCATGAAGCTTGGATAGCAGAGTGCAGCATTTCCAATGGCACCTCACTAAAACCTGCAAGGGAGGCAATACACAAAGTGTGAGCAAATTTGACAGAAAACCAGCATCACTTACCACTTTACTTTGCAGGTCTGTGTGTTCCATTCCACAATGTGTTTGTCCTCTGAACAGCTATACAAGCAGCAGTTGTCTTGATGCCATCTCACACAGTTTACTCTATTGTCATGACCACCATCCTACAAAAGGTAAAAGAGAGTCAACTCCTTAAAGTAGTCTTGACTACTGACTCTTCCCCATATCAATAAAATGAACAAGGTGCTCTTCTGAGAACTAAATTCAAATTTCTGGCAACTTGAAGAGTGTGTGGTTTTAAAGACCAACATACTTATGCAGTTATATAAAGTAAAAATATTTCATATTTGAGTAAGTTTTTTCCTTCTCTCTCCCTTTCTTTAATCTTTCTTCTCTTTCACCCTACTCTGTATTCAAAATCCATCACCATGTGTTTATACTAGAAGATAAGGGACTAACTTGTACCAATTTCCGTGCCAAGTGTATCATTTCCTAATAAAACTTTGTACGTTTTTGTGGACCCTCCAACTTTTGTCCTTTCTGACCACCAGCATGGGAATCTGTGTTCCCTTCCCTTCTGGGGTGGGACACCACAGGTCAGGAGTTGGACTTTGATGGTTCTTACGGGTCCCTTGCAACTCAGAATATTCTGTGATTTTTCTAGCACTTCAGAATTAACAACAAAATTGTCCTGCCTGCTATTTTTATACACACAGCCAAACAGGCTAACAGTATGACATTTGCTCAAAGGAAAGGCTAGCACAGGTGTCTTGCTGACAGCCATCTAAATGCCTGCTTCCTTAAGTGCACTCAGAGATGAGCAGCCTTCCCTTTGTATCAGCATTCAAGAGCAAGCTATCACTGCATCAGAAAACCCTACAAAGGGTCTACTTACTGCTTGTAACAATCTAAACTTCTGTAGCTCCAAATATACTCTTCAATCATATATGAAAATATTTCAGTCTATAAAATTTCACTATTTGAATAAGTAACAACCTGCTCAGACTACTCCCAAATGTGTCACTGCAAATCAGCTCTGAGCAAGACAAACTACATCACAGCAAGGCATTCTGTTCAACAAGGATGGCGAAAAGCAACGTCTCTTATTCTAACAGGAACAATATTTTAATTCAACCTATCTGTAAAAAAACCAAAGTACGCAGGAAATCACATCTGCTGTCTTGCTCTACAGGGAAGCAGACAGTGTTTTCAAAGCAAATGAAACTAAGTTTTAACCTGAAAACATCTTTACTTTGCTCAGAGTTTTCAAGCATAGATACAGGTTTTCCATAACTGAGTGGATATTCATTACTTAGTGTCACTTGCATGCACTGTGATTTTAAGAAGTCATTGTTTTCTCTAAATTCATGTACATTTATCACCCTACAAACATCTAACAGTTCAGAAGCAGAAGTACTGCCCAAGTATCTCAATGAACTGCACAGTGATTCATACAGATTTGTTTTGCTTGTTATGTAACCTGGGACTGAAACGGAGGTACTTGTGAAGTTATCAATTGGAAAGGCCAAATGAATGTCAGTGTGTACCATTCAGAAAAGACCACGTGCTGTCAGAGCTCAAAAGCTTCCACAAGAAAGACAAGTTTGCAGAAGAGTCCATCAATGTGACACCTTCCCAAGCATCCATCAGTACTTCAATCCTGCTCTCCTCTCCCACAGTACTGTGCAGGAACTAAGGGTGTGATACTCCCACAGAGGACAGAACTCTCCACTTAGGCATTTCATCATTACTGTCACTTCTAATGCAAAATAACAAATCCATGCAAAATGTTAAGATATTGCATTAACGTCAAAACAAAGATTTTTCAGCCTAAACTGACTGAAACCATCAGTATTTGGCAGTATGTGATGAAGAGTGTATTACTTACTAGCTTGCTCTGTAACTCTCCTTTAACTGTGCTGTACAACAAAATGCTACCAACTGCTGTACCGATAGCCAGGATATCTGACTGCTGGTCCACTTCTGCAACTTCAGACTTCCGCTTTTTCCTCTGGGGGCCATCCTGGAAAAACAAAACAAGAGAAACCATGAAATAAGTTAGGCTGACTAGATAATCTCAGGGTCAGAGCAGAGCGGGGAAAAAACTTCCCTGAGGTCCAGTCAGACAGTACAAACTCTGCTAAGGCAAAAAAATGAAGACCCTGAAGTACAGAGAAGCCTAGAGACTCACCTTGTACCTCCGTGTACAAAGTAACAAAGTTGCTATGAGTCACTTGGAAACATCTGGTGGAGGCCATTTTGCCAGCCTATACCAACCATATATATGAGGGGAAAAAACCATTTTTCACACAGTTCATGCCCCAGAGGCAAAAGTAAAGACTGACAGGATAGAACACTTCATCCATGAAATTGAAACACTTGACTGAGAATGATCAATTTGTTTTTTCTCAAAAGCTATTCAGAAGACTCTTGCAAACACAAAGTATTCATAATGATTCTTAAACAGAAGCACTCCACAGGGAAAAGCAACCAGAACTCAAAGCTCAGTGCCTGCCCCAGCCCTGTTGTCAGTACCAGAGCTCCTCCTACAATCAAGTAGTTCTCAAGTCTTCACTCTCTTGCTCTGCAAGTGCTACCAACCACTTCAAGGAGGGATTTCACTTAATCTCTTAACCAAAAATGTGTGAATACAGCACATGACTGGGAATGGAAGACAAGAATAATACTGGTTCCTGAGCACATGAAACTAAAATAAAGAGGGCAGAACAAACCACTATGTTTATTCTCACCCAGTTAATCCCACACAAATAACCACACATACAGAAACAAACAAAAAATTATTCAAATACTTCAGAGGGAAAAAAAACATCCCTAATGCTACTGATGGGTTTTAAAATTGGACTTTGGCAAGTCTCCTTATATTTGTTACATTACAGCAAAGCATCTTCTCCAATTTATTTATATGCAAGCTAATGCTTCCTCTACACAACAGATCTATTTGCACTGATGAGCAACCAGAAGAAGCCAAAGGAGACTGATAAAATGTAAGCAACTGTGCAAGTTCCATGTGGTATAGCTGTGTCATATAATAGACATGCCACAGTGAATCTAAATAATTTCTACTCCAGTCCAGAGACAGAATGACAAGTAAAATTTGAGAGTTTTTACCACGACTAAGATGTAAAAGTTTAACAGTGCAGGATAAATATTTTGGTTCTTTGAAGCAGAGCTTTCTTTTCTTCTGTATTTAACACAGACAACACTTTCTGCACTGAAAACTGTTTTGGTTTAGGCCAAAAAATACCAAAATGCTATACAGAACTTTTACATCAACAACAGGCTCTTGAAAAAAGAGATTACAATGTGGATTCTTTTCCCAGGTATTCGTTTAGGCTTCATCTTTCCTTGGAAAGAAAAGTGTTTATAGAATATTACAAAAACAAGTGCTGAGAAACCACCACAGTTGCAAAGCACAACCAAGTAAACCAAGTAGGTTTTAATAAAATACATGAGGAAAGACTGAACTGTGAGATTTTTTTGACAGCAATGATAACTGAGCAATTTTGAAACTGCTGTCTGACATGCAAAGACAAAGGCCACAGACAGAGTGGAGCTACAAGTGTTTTCTGGTGCTTTTTGGCATCTTTACATAGTTTTACTAATTACTCCCCACACCTCCACTGCAAAGCAAGACTACAATTCAGAACAGATTTTATTCTCTACCCCTGCATAAATGCTCTACCTAAAATTTGTTCACTCTCCATTTCAGTTATGGCCAATTTCCAACCAAACCCAACAACCCAAAAGTACAACAGAATTCTCACTGAAGTGCAGTTATTTCCAGTGTCAAGAAATCAAGAGGAAGTGAAGATTTTCCCAAATTTTTTCACATGCATTTTTTTCACTGACCATCCTTTATCAGCACTATTAGTGGAGCATTTGGTCGGGAACTCTGCCAGTGGAAAATTCAGACACCTGTTAGTGATTTGAAAAAACAGTCTAAGAACTAAAAAGAAAATTGATCAAACTTCTCTACTCTGCATTACATTAGTGCATAGACAGACTGCCGACTGCTGCAAAGATCCATGTGGGATTCACTTGGGGAACAGTCTTAAATAAAAGCACCCTGTTCTCATGGACAGGACAGGGGAGCTGAAATATTCTAAGTATCTGTTTCCTTTTCATTTGTTTTTTTTTTACATATTTAGGGAAACTCAAGCTTATTTAGAAATCCTGTAACTTTGCCTGACAAAGTAGTTTTAATCAGTAGATGGTTAAAATAAGTTATCTGAAAAGGAAATGTGCATACGTTTTTCCACACTGGACTAGGTAAACCAGTGAGACTTCTCTTTTTAAACAGAAACCCAATCTCTGCTGCTCACATGTGAAGTAAGGCACCTAAAACACTGAATGGGGGAGGAGTCTAAAGGTCTGGACAGCTGATGATGACAGAGCAGTTGCAGCGTGTTAGGAAGAAAGTGGAAGCAGGTATTCTGAATGCTGGAATTTCACTCTTGCACAAGGCACCACACGGAGCAGGATGAACACCGCACGCAGGAAGCGCTGGCACTGGGATAGCACGTGGGCAGGGAGCATCCCAGTAAGCCACCACTGCATCAGCAATTCCAGGGCCTGCCGTTCACAACTTGATTCCTAACATTCCCCTGCAACACACAGCCTTCATTAGCATGGCAGAAGTCCAAAACATACTCAGAATAGGTATAATCTGGTCAAACACCATTTATGGATATCTACTGGCACCGTTTCCCCCCTGAACATCTGATAACAGTACTACTTCGAGAGATGCCAACTCTCCAAGAAAAAAAATAAAATACTAATGTCAGAAAGAACACAGTTAATGAAATGTAGTTGGCAGAATCATCACAGCTATACTTCTTCAGTTCAGTCTAAGGACAAACTAATGACTTCCAAAGGTTTATGGCATAATTATTCCAAGAAACAGTGTTTTCCAGCTCCACTTGAACACCTACCAATTTTCAAGCATTCAAACTACTGGAATAATTAGAAAGCACTGAGAAGTGGCCAAATGCTGTCTGATGAAGTCCATTTTCCATACTACCCTAAACCTATGGTTAAATTCAAGCACCTGTGGGCTGTCTCTAGAAAACAAGGGGGTTTTTTTAAAATAAAAGTTTTTAGAAGCCATGCAGTAACCTCCTGTGCTTAACTTAAGAGCATCACAGCACCACAGTATGTTACCTTAAGTTTTATTCCACACAGATTAACCCCACATTCACAGGCCAGTTTCAGTCAATTTAAGAGTGAAAAGCCATCTACAAAGCCCTACAAGTAATGCATGGATCCCTCTGTCTTCAGAGTTACATGACAAATGACTAGGCTAAGGCCAATCTCAAACTAACCCCTTTTACCACAGGCTTCACATGTTCTGGGAGTTTTCAAAGTTCAGGGACTAAGTTGCTGCACTGAGAAAAGTGAGACAATATCATCTTCCTTTGGATTGGTAATCTGTGCAACTAAGCATTCTGAAATACCTCTTACAGTATTTCTAATACACTGAATTGCTGATGTACCAGAGCACACTTTGAAATGGCCTCCCTGCCTCTTATGATAAATGGGGTGGATTTCACATACTTTATCCAAGGGAGACATGTTTTGGTAAGGAAAGAGTATGTTCTAGGTAAAGAAAACAGAATTACTTCAACATAAAGAGTATCCAAAGGTACCTTAGCATATACTCCAAGGATTCTCAGGTTCAGCGTTCCCCTGAGGTGAAGTCAACTAAAATTTGACCAAGGTGGAGAACATCCAAGCCCTCCAACATGTGCTATGAATAAAACTACCAAATACCTTCTGGCAGGATCCCTGGGCTCAAGAAGATGCATCACAGACAGTGTAGCAGCTGGCACGGAAATACTTCCAGGGGTAAGGAAGTGTGGGGAGACTCTGCCTTTACTGAAAGGTGAACTGTACATAGGCTCAGTGGACGCACAGCAGCCGACCTGTCCTGCAGCATCACCTCTCTGATCGAGGCAGGACGCGCCACGAAGCAACATACCTTTGCTCCTTCAAGCAAAGCTTCTTCCATGCGGGTTACACGAAAGACAAACGGTTTTACACAGTCAGTGCTTTTGCTGGGTTTCATTTAAAACACAGTAATAAAACAACAGAGCCTCCAGCGCCACTACCCCCCAGAACCGCGTAAAACCTGCCTTGTGGCAACTCGCTGGCCTTCCAACCGGACCGAT